CTGCTGGAAATAGTGTACTTGACGATTTCATCCATCGGTCAAACAGCAGAAGGTTTGCTGGCAGCTGCTGCTGATAAATAGAAAAATCAGTCATTCTTCCACTCCAGCTGCTGAAATGTAATGATTTGCTGCTTCTTCTCTGTCAGAATTGTTGTTAAGTGAATACCTTTGAGTTCTCGAACTCTCTGTTGGAATGTGATGAAGTATCCTGGATCCATGACAACCTGTGATGAGATCCGTTTCCTCTCATTTTGCAACAGGACGACATTTGGTTGCGGCCAAGCGTTTAAAGATGTGTCAAGTAATTCTTAAGGTGCGACCGTGGACAAACACAAACTAAAGGGTTAAAAGGCTAAATCAATATGGGTCTGCCTGGAGGGTCCTTCTGTGTCACGTTGGTATTTCCAATATGTGGAGTTAATTTAGTTAATGATTCTAGCAGTAAATCGGCTATGCTGTGTTGCCTATAAAACTGGCATCTAATATTTATTTTATCTGTTAAGGAAATTGGAAATGTTGCAATACAAAGAAATAAACAAAAGAAAACACTAAAATTAATTCCACAGGATTGGAAATGTTGCAATACAAAGAAAACACTAAAATTAATTCCACAGAATTTTAGTTTGGGTTTTTTTTGAATAATTTTGTTTATTAAATGGTACAGTGGAAGTTTACCCAATATGTCAAAGTTAGTCAATAAAAATGAATGACTTATTGATAAATATATATATAAAAAAACAAAAATCCATCTGAAGATTAAGCTTAGACAAAAATAATTAAATGAATAAATAAAAAGAAATATTAGCCCCTACGATATGAAAATAAAGCTTAGAATCACTCGCTGCTTGTTTCTCTATGTTCTTGTAAAGGTCACCATAGTGATTTGGCCCCTGGTCGCTCTTCCTGATGCAGCCCATCCTGGGAATGGCGACGTGTAGCAATTTGACCTGGAACCTTAGAACCAGGAATCCTTAGAAGGAAAAAAACCAACATATATCTACAAAAAATCAGAATAATGAATAATCAACAGTATAAAGTATAACATATGGCCAGCCAAAATGATAACTTCAAGTAAAAAACTTAAAAAGCCCAACCTTGAAAGTGCTTGAAAAGTCTGGTATTGTAAAAATAACCTAAAATTTTTTTAAATTAAATTCTTAAATTCTTAAAAAATAAAACATTCACATCACCTAGACAGCTAGACTAAAGAGACTCTGTTCCCAGTGTGATTTCCTCAGAGTGTTGAGGAATCAAAAAATAATGGAAGATGACAGGACTAATGCAATAGTACTTTATCAATTTAGAAAATTGGTTTACATTGGCGGCTTTTCTTTTATAGACAAACTGTAACACACACGTACGCACAGTGTGCAGCAGTGCCCGAGGGGGACACGCCCTAATTCTCCCAGGCTCTCTGTGTGAGTCAGTGTAATTCAGTCCCATAACTTTATTATGAAGAGTCCTAGCCGAGACGGTTTATTAAATCAGACACACACTTAACACTCTCCTCTCTGTCAGACTCTGTCAAGTGTATTGTCTCGGGTAACAGTCCACGGCATGTGATCTTCTGCGTTTCCTTTCCCATCATATAACGTGACTGACCGTTGGAACGTCTCCAGTGAGTGGATATGAAAGTCTCAAAATGGTTGACTCATCCGAACATCGGTGAGTCACCGCGCTGGAAAATAATCAAGGCGGAATCACTGGAATCTGGACAAAGTGATAAAAGAAGAGTGAAGTCAAGTATGATTAATCGCAAACGGCTTTCTTGTCATTGCATCTTGAGAAAAGTCCACTGGCCTCGCAGTGATGTCATCAAACCAAAAATATCGGTTACAAATAATTATTTCACATTCACTTCAAAACAATTTTTAGGTCACATCATCTGGGCAAAACCCAGGCATTGCGTTTTTTATCGTTTTTTCCTCTGATAATGATTCTTACCAATATTACGTAGTTAAGCTAATATCGGCTGACAATATCGATTGGCCAATATTATTGGACATCCCTATAGGCAATTTCATATGTCGTTTTTTTTGTCTCAGTGCTAATTGTTGTGATGATGGTCATGTTTCCGGTCAGATATATTCCAATTTTGTTCCCATGTGATGATACAGCCTAGTGGTGGCAACAGGGAAGATCATGCAATGATTATGTTGGAAATGAATAATGTATGTGCAGTCAGAGTGACCGATGGGTTCAAGGTAGAAAATGGGACATACATCAGGAATCATCTTTCGACCACATGTTAGCTGTTTTGGCCGAGCAGTTTGGAGAAATATTTTGGATGGTCGACGGGATCCAGAGGTTGGTGACTGATGTAGGACAGACCACGGAAAAAAGTATAGCATGAAAAATCAGCAGTTCATTCACTGTGCAGCTAGAAACTGAAAAAACGAGGTGGTGGTGACTGTAGTTTGTGTCCATCAACAGTCTGTTAGCAGCTGGTTGAATACGCCGCTCCTGGATGATAGCTGTAATGTTGACTGCTTCACTCTATTATCTGTGTGCGTGTGTGTGAAAGAAACGTGATATAGGATAAGTGAGTCCCACAGGAAGCACGGTGGTGAGGTGGTTAGCTCCGGTGCCTTAATTCAAGAAAGATATGCATGATGGGATTCTTCACTGTAGATGAGACACTTTAAGAATGGGATTATAAGCATTAGGAGGGATTGACGCCACGGGTGAAAAGCTGCTCTGCGTCGTCTAGGATTTGGTTTCACTTTCTCGTAGGTTGAGCGCAAGGAAATTAATGATTTTTGTAATTTATTTTTGTCAACTGGTTCTTTGCTCTGTGGAGTTCCAGGAGTTCCATAAAGAGTCGTTTCTGGCATCTAGACAAAGAGAAACATCTCCACACCTGGTGTGCCGTGAAAACAGAAAGCAAATTTCTTGCAGCTTTGGAAACGGGGCCCGCGTTTGAAGCTGCGCTGTGATCGTTATGCGTCCCACGATGTGCTCAGTTGTGCGGGGTGAATGTTTAATCTCTGTTGTTTTGTAGTTTTTCTCTGAGGGTAATTTGTTTTAAAATTCCTTTGAAATGAAGGCCCGAGTGGAGTAGGGTGTGCTGCTTCATTAAAATGCATTGCTGTGTCTGAAGAC